ACGTCGGTTTCCATGGCACTGCTGCTTTATGAAACAAGTAGCGTCAAATCGTCAGTTCTTTTTCTTTTACTTTAATATTTTCTTGTGAGAGGAATCATCATTTTTTTCTGTTTCAACCAACCCAATGTTACTTTAAGAGATGAAATGCATGTAAAGAAAAGAAAGTAGATTCATTATTTTCTCTTTAGTTGGAAAAAAAAGAAGATCGGTTTGTGTCAAACAACGTGTACTCGGTAATATTTCTTCATATAACTAACACTTCGTGAGTACTGCCACAAATGTGAAGTGAGAGATATTTGCTGCTGACTGGTAGTTCTAAGCGCTTCTTTCATTAGTATATTGACAAAAAAGGTTTAAAATTCATTAACGATCGCAAAACTGTGCTTTCTCCAAAATATCCCATCATCTCACCTTTCTAACTTCTGTCACTATTCAAAATAGTGTTATTCTGGCTTCTTATGCGAAATTGATCGTAAAAACAAGATATGATTCTCTAGAACAACAGTGTCTGGAGGTTGTGAATTTTTTTTTGGTTTGTACTGTGTTTTATTGTGACACTCGTAATCGCTTACAAAAAAAAGAGAAAGAAGAAAGAAACGAAAGAAGGAGAACAAAAAAGGAAGGAAATGTATAGAAGGAACAACCAAGGAACAGAGAGAGTGAATAGAGAACAAGGTATAGAACAAGAAACAGAAAGTTATAGTGAATAAAACATCTACATCAACAAATTCAGAACAAGATGTTAGGAATTGGATTAGATAATTACGGGGGCTGATTTATGAAATCCAACCAGGTAAAGAGCAATGAATGATGTCTAGCTTTCAAGTTCTTCATCCGTCTCAAGGTGAAAAAATGACCCTTGCAGTCGTTAGTCATTTTATGGTAATTATCCCAGAAACATATGTCATCCAAAAATAGCGAGGAGCCTAAGTCTGATATATATATTCCTTCGACTATAGGGAAGGGCATGTGAAAAAAAGTAAAAAGAGTTTGTGTGTCTGTTTGTTGCAAGGTCAAAAAAACATCAGAAGGGAACTTTAATCAGGTGTACCTTCTAAGTTTTCAATACAGGATATCGAGGTCGGGAAATCTGATTTGGAAGTCGGATTTTACATCCGGTGTTCTTATTCGCTAGAAAGCCGACGAATCAGAAATCAGCTTTTTTGTTTTAAGCGTTTCCCATATTCTGATGAAACTTTACTACAGGTTATCGAGGGTCAGGACTCTGAATGCGAAATTGAATTTTGAATCTGATCTTCCGATTGACTAGAAAGTCGATCAATCAGATATGAGCTTTTTCATTTTAAGCTGTTCGCACGTCTTCATGAAACTTTACTGGAGGTTATCGATGATCAGGATTCTGAATCCGAGATCAGATTTAGCATCTAATGTTCCCATTGGCTAGAAAGCCGACCGATCAGAAATGATTTTTTTTACTAAGGAAATTACTTTAGTTTAGAAAGGTTCAGGAAAGTAAATCGGGATCGGGAAATCTCCCTCTGCAATCGATTTCTCAAAATTTCAAGCTCTTATTTTTACGAAAAATTCGTTTTTATAAAAAAATCGTGGTCTATGCGCGAAACTATTTTTCTAGGAATAAACCAATTTTTTACAGGAAATAATCATGTGAAAAAAGTCAAACTTGAAATTTCGAAAACTTGATTACGCATTCAGATTCTTTGATCGTGGTTTACTTTCGTCAATCTTTACCCAATATTGTTATTTTCTCAAAAAATCCTTTCTTGGACTGACAAAAGTTCAAATCAAAATAGCGGAAAACCGATTGTAGATTGAAATTCTCTCACAACAGTCTACTTTCGCCAACCTATATGAAATATCGTTGTTTTCTCGAAAAACACTTTAGCTCGTGAAAATTGGCTTGGACTAGTAACTGTATCTACGGTTATTGTCATCGTTGCGGGTGTGGGTGAGGGTGCAAATGGCTAAGATGTGAGTTTAGGTGTGGCTTTTTGGATGTGGGTATGATACGCCGGCTTGGGTGTACGTGGATGTGTCTGTAAGTGTCGGTGTCGTTGAGCAGAGTATCTACACACCACTCACGCCCACACCTACATTCCACACTCATACGCATATTCACACTCTCATGTGCAGGACACGCATCGATTCCGATTTATTCAGTTTTTGTTGTGTCTAATACTTTGTTTATGTTTCTTTTATATATAAAAATCAGTGACTAGATACTCAGTACAATGCTCAGTATTTTTGGTTCTTTATTCTGAAAAATTTCAAATACTAAGTCCTTTTTTGTAGTAAAAGTAGATTTATTTGTACTGTAAAAGTGTACTTAAGTGCTGGGCACTGAGCACAAACGTACCTAAGTACATGTGTACTTAGTATTGGTACTCAGTAGCAATGCAGTGAAGTACCTTACTAGTACAATTGTGAGTGCTTCGGTACCGATACGACCGATAATATATTTTAGTACCGGTTGTAAATATCGGTGGTGTTAAGTGAAGATTGCTATTTGACATGCTTACACCATTCGGCTTTCGTTTTAATTAAGAAGCTCTTGCTGCGTATCAAAATTTGTAATGGGTTCGGGCAGAATGACACAAAACAGTTGCATCGTTCGGTCCATATCGGTTTTTACCAATTAGGAAAAATGGTCAATATATATATATATATATATATATATATATATGTTTTGCCTTGATGAAATGCCTTTAGACAACTTTTATACTCTTATCAAAACAAAATCAGAGCACCGCTTTTAAATATCATTTATCTATTTTTTCCTAGTCATCACTGTTTTATGTCTCTCATTATATTGTTTTTTTTTAATCCTTTAATAACCATAGTCAAAACTATTATATGAACTTGGTCTCTTCATCTAATGTAGGAGCCTTTGTCAGAAGTCAAGCTTAATTTTAGATGTTTATATCTAGAATACGTAGTAGCTTCTTTGATACAAAAAGAACAGAAAAATATAGAACTCAATATGAGTGTCAACTGTCTGGAATGTAATACCTCGTATTCCATTAGAAAATGTCAATTGTGAAACTTTCGAACAGTTTGCAGACTGGGAGACTGAAATCTGATATTTTTCTCAAGAAATTGTGAAAATTGAAGCAAAATTGCAAAGAAAATGTTTTATACAAACATCACCTTAAGTTGGTGAAAAGAAACTAATAAATCTGTCAGTCTTCACTGATTTCAAAGACTTGTTGACTTGACCAGTGAGAGGCCGGATCGGTTGAAAACTTGTAGACTGACCACAACTCTGATTTACGATTGTCCTTGGGTGGTGTATTTATACACTTTCAGTCTCTGATAAAAATGAATTAAAAGTAGCCAAATTCTTTTGGCTGTTACAGTAATGACGATATTTCCTCGACTATAGGGAAGGTGTGGGTGTGGGTGTGGGTGTGGGTGTGGGTGTGGGTGTGGGTGGGTGTGTGGGTGTGGGTGTGGGTG